AAAAAAAAAAAAAAAAAAGGAGGGAAAAACCCCCCCCCCCCCGACTATATACTGAAGTAACTCAGCAATGTCCCCTAAAGCAAAGGCTCACAGCTCATGGACTGCATGTGGGTCCCAATATCCATATGTAACTTTCAAAGTACCCCAACAAAGTTGTTTTGCTTTAACAAAGCAAAGATATGTTAAACAGACATCTCACTACTGAAAATAATAATAGTGTCCATTAAGAGGTCCATTCAATGATTCTATATTTTTATTGCAAATAGTGTTTCAGACACCAAAGCAGGGTTTCAGATACTAATGCCAAGTTTTGTACTCCATTTGAATCTTCCTAACATGCTTTAATCAGGAGGCCATTATGCTATCTCTTGAATTAGTGTCCCTGAAATAAATTCAACAAATGCTCTGAAACCCAAGATCATATTCTATTCAAGGATCATGGTTGCTTTTCATGGTTCCTTACAAAATTAGAGAGAACCTGTGATAAGAAAGTTCATATCATAACAGTGCCAATTACCATTATTACTCTAGGACCACTCCTATTTGTATATCAAAATGTCATCACGGTGAGGGTTAGGGCTGGAGTCTACTCTTTCCCACTTGCCTGCTTTCTAAATCACTGCCACTACACAGCTCCTCTGTGCTCCTAGGGCAGCCATCGGGGTCTGCAGGGAATCAGACATGCTGTACTTGCTCCCTTGTCTTCCCAGGATACCTCAGGTGGAGAGGATATCCCACATAAGGAAAGCAGTGGAGAGATCCATGCAGGGTGATGGTCTGAAGAAGGATCTGATAGGGGTGAGATACCCCCACCTGGAATTTTAGCATGCTTGCAGTTTAATGGGGCTCTTGGATCTTCAACAGAGCTAATAGTTTTGTTGCTTCTAGCCTCAACTCAAGAACCATCCATCATATAGCCAGCTTCAGTATCAATCAGAACCTCAACTATCATTGTACAAACATGACCATGGCCTAAATGACCAAAGTGAAATGATGAAAAATAGCTCTCTTTTGCAATAAAAACATTATTTAATATATGTATTCTTAATGGCATACCATGATACTTTTCATTTTGTCTCACTAGAGATTTTTGTATCAGTGTATGAAAAGGCTTGCGTATTCTCTTTTGGGCTATTGAACAAATTGTCATGAAGCATTTATGACAATTTGATTATAGACCCCTGTATTAGGGAAATAGTGATGTTTGGATTTCCATCTCAGTTTAACTAAAATATTATCAGTATAGAATTTCAAAGATTTCAATGAAAATATCTAAACTCACATGACGCAGATGAAAATGTAACAGAAAGGTGTTTTTGAAATACATCCTTTGAACATCAAAAGTCATTAGTGGCAAACCACATTTTCTGAAAAAGCACCAATATATTCAGTAAGATGTCTTTTCCTCTTTTTTTATTGCCTGACAAACTCATTCTTTCCTTGGTAATTCACAAATGCTCATGATCTTAAATAATAATTTAGTTTTTAATACAAAGGACTTAGGCTAGTTAAAGACGTGATAGTTGTATAACATGTAAAAATTGGTCAGCATTAACCTAGATGTTTGTGGCTGAGGCTGCTGTACAAATTGGTTAGCTTATTATCCAACGTACTGAACTGAATCATACAAGGTCAGAAAATGAGTTAATTCAGTTACCTGCTTAGCAATTTGACAACTCTACATTTAAATTTGATTTCTGGATTGAGATATGAAGCTAACTGAATGGGAAAAATGGAAAAAAATGTTCTTCATAAACTCAAATATTAAAAGTACCGATACTGCCTAATTTTAGATGCTCCACTTTACCAAAAATTGCTTACAAAATGCAGAACCTTTAGTGAAAAGACCCTATGTGTATAAGAGCTTTATGGTAGGTTAAAAGGCAATCATACATATTTTTACAGCATAATTTTCTTTTAGTTGATTAGCAAACTGTCAAAACACAATAATCTGTATTAATGGCAAACATTCATTTAATGTTCTGCTTCCTGGCATCTGCAATCTTTAAAGGTGGCAGAGCAATAATTAACTAAATTAGAGATCATGCAAGAAGGAGGTGGGGAAGAGCCCTCTCAGCCTAGTCAATTTATGCATGCAAATAATATACAAAGTGCACATAAAAATGAACTATTTATTCACTGACATGACCAGTCTATTTAAAAGTCAAAACCTCAACTTGGCAAAACTCCATACCTGGAATGATCTGCAGGTATAAGTTAGCAAATAACCTCCATATAATGACCTTGTAGCCTCAGAATTCATCCTATGAAATTGAAATCTCCCAAATGGTAACAAATTAAACAGCAAGCAGGGATCAAGAGCTATGTTGAATCCATCACTTGACAGATAATAATTAACATTTTTTGGCTAGAAAATATATGCCAATTAGGAAAATGCATAAAACTTATTAAAAAGGGCTTCATAAAGCTTCTTAAAAAGTCATTAAAGTTGCCTTGAATGTTGTCTTAAATAAAACTTGTGTCAACATTTTGCAAGATATCCCTTTCTCCCTAATCTTGTTTAAAGTCTTGAGAAGACCCTAAAAACTGGGAAGGGGGAAATTCTTTGTGATAGGCATTATAGCATGCTAGTATAAAAAAATCTGCAATTAGAATTGAAGAGACCACATTTTCTGCATGGATTTGCAGTTCAAATCAGAAGCTGTCCCAAGGAACTAAAACTGATGTACTGACATTTGCTTTGTTAAAACAAAATCAGTGTGTTTTCATTTGGTTTAATTATTATCAAGTTGACATGTTTCATCATAATTGATATTTTGATGGGCAATCTGCTGCAAATATTATTTCTGCAGACCACAAAGCCTTCCAAGATTGCACCACTGAAATATGGCAGCAAAATGGCACAATTTCTGTCTTCTTTTCCACAATGTAAATTAAAAAATAGGTGCATTATTCCTCAGACTTAAAAGCACCCTTTTTCTGTTGCTCCACCCTAATAATAAAAAAGAGGGAAAATTTCAATCCTGCCCACTTTAATTACAACAGTAACTGGCAGAATGACTCCTGCTAGCCATAATACCTGCAGTGTGAAAAAAACTGAAATAACAACACTATGATTCCTGGACAAAATAAATCACCCATCTCTGTTTTATATAAAAGGGATCATTACCAAAAATTCTTGGAGTGACAAATGTAGGAAACTGGTGTGCAGACTCTTCTTTATGCATATAAATATTGAACGAAGTATAGTTTAAATGTAGACCATTATTTCCAATTAATATAAGGCAGCTTCACATCTTCCTATTTTCATCAGGTTAGTTTCAAAATGCATAAACTTCTTAAAGTTAAGCTCTTAAATTTTATTGGCTTTGGTGGGATTTGTTTGTATGTGAAAGACAGGATACTTCCCGTCTCTATTTCAGGGAATAAAATCTACTAGACAGTCAGGGGTTTTTTTTCTTTGAAATGTTTTAGTCCAAGTCCTTTTGAGAAGTGAATCAGAACAACTCTTCTACCTCCTGTCATTTTCAACATTTCTTTAGAAACATAGTAAATAGAACAAAGGCAATCCTGCCATCAAATAGATCACAAAGTTATAGCATTCCTTTGAAACTTCAGAAACCAACTTCAAACTAAAGTGATGTTCTCTGACCAGCTCTTATCTATGTTATTAGTTTAAATGTACTAAAAACAAAGTGTCACAACAGTCTAAAAATAATTGTACAACCAGAATATTCTTTATCCAGCAGTGAATAAAAGGACAAAGAAAAAAAAGTGTGTATAATTGCACTCTGGATCTCAAAACCTTCCAGTTTCCAGTTTGGTTGTTAATTGAAAATAACAGAACTGTTATTTTCATATAATCATCTTCTCAGATGTAAAAGGTGCCATGTATTCTAAATTCATTCTTACTGCTTATGGGAACTGGAACTCATGAAAAACAGATGATCTTTATATTTCTTGTTTAATATGGTACACATTTTAGAACAACACATAGATTCCAGATGTGTCTCATCAGAAAAGGAATGTGAGAACCTACGTCAATCATTACCAGTATACATCAAATGCAAGGGTTAGAATTAAAAGGTCTTGAACTTGAGATGGATACTCAGAGAGTAGGATGTAGACATAGTTAATCTTCTCCACAGATTCCAAACTCTTCCCTTTTGACATGTATGTCTGGACCCAAAATTCTGCCTTTGTTTAACAGACAATGCCCAAAGGGAACAGATGCACCAGTCAGTGACGATAGATCACCACAACTGAAATGGCCATTATTTATTTATTGGTTGAATTTACTTTATATACACCACTATCAGTGCAGGAAGAGTTTCTTGGGCAGGTAAGAACTGCTCCCCTTTTAACTTTTAGATGATCTTTTTGCAGGTTTCCCTCCCTCCCTCCCTCCCTTTCCCTTCAAGTGAGTGTTGAGTCCCTGCAACATTTTCAGAGGTGGTTTGCCATTGCCTCCTTTCTAGGGCTGAGAAAGAGTGACTGGCCCAAAATCACCTAGTTGGCTTCATGCCTAAGGTGGGACTAGAACTCATAGTCTCCTAGGTTATAACCTGCTGCCTTAACCACTACACCAAACTGACTCTTTTTTTCTTTAGTGCTCAGTATATCATTGATGAGAAATTAACCATAAAAAATAAAGTACATTAGATGGGGGGTGTCTAAATTTGAACTAAAAATAAATAAATAAATAATATGAGAAAGGATTTGAATCATTAAGCTAAGTGCCAAAATCTCCACTATTTGTTGTTTAAAAAAATAGAAAAACTACTAAAAATATTATAAACATTTAGTTTCTAACTTCCCCCTTGTTGTACTCCACTGAT